GGGGGGGGCCCTCCCGGCCCCCGCGGGGCCCGGGAGAGCCCCCCCCCCTGCTGGGGCGGGGAAGAGGGGGAGGCAGCCAAGAAGCCAGGGTCTGCTGGGCCCTCCGTGACTGCTGCACCTACCCAAGACCCTTTAATTCTGCCAGGCTCCCCTTCCCATCTCCCTCCAACTCTTCCTCCATTTTTAGCGCCAAGGCTCCTTGTTCTGCCTTTTCACTTTCCACCATGTGTGCGTGTGCGTGTGTGTGTGTGTGTGTGTGCGCGCGCGCGCGTGTTTCCTTTCTTCTTCCTCCATTGAATGTTAGGCAGTCTGTCTCAGCTTTGTGGACCCCCAAACCCCTGAAAATTGCACCTTTGGTTTAATTATCAGCCATTCTCTGGCTTATCCCCATAGGGTGGCCTTTGCATCACACCTCCCCTTTCTCTAGTCAATATATATGATTGCTCTCTACAGAGGGAATGGGTGCCCTGTTTTTAATCCACAACCTCATAAAAGGAGAGAGCGATGGTCTATGGAAACTTTTTCCTGAAATTTCATTTAGAGTAGAAAAATGTAAACACACTTTTAGGGCAGGAAAAAAACAACACCATTTAAAAAATTGTGAGAGAGGGACAGTCCTGGCTGTGGAAAGTCATAGAGGTAGAGATGAACTTTGACACCAAGGAGAAAAGTTTCTGGTCAAGAAAACCCCCATTCCACATGGAAAGGGGTGGTACCAAGAGAATCAACGTGGAATGAGGAGAAGGGGGTGTTGAAGACGGTGCATGCAGGAAGGGGGCTATGGCTTAGTGGTAGAGCACACGTCTAGCATGCTCAAAGCTTGAGTTCAATCCCTAGTGGTGCCAAAAGTGGGGGTGGAGAGAAGGAACAGGTGCATGGTTATAGAGACCCTATCCTACCATACTGGTAGAGATTCAAAGCATCTACTTAAACCATTGTGTGGCCAGTGGACTTGTTTGTTTCCCAGTGCTGAGAATGGGACCAGGACTTTATGCATGCTAGACAAGCATTCTATTACTGAAGCTTATTCCCAGCCTGTCTTCCTCGAATACAGATGCTCTAGGCCTTGGCTAGGAGACATTCTTGGTATCTCCTTCGCAATAAGTTGCGTCTCTCTGCTGCATTCAGCTGGTCTCCAAGCAGTTTGAGCAGCAGGGCTATGAAAGCACAGGGTGATGGTCACTGTCCGTGGTGCTGAATATTGCCTTGCCAATCAGATTGGCCATGGCCTGCCTGTAACATCAAATCAGAGGTGGGCCTCGGAGTAGCAGAGTGCCACTGCCATCCTCTCCTGAGAATATATATGGGCTATTTACAGGGGTGGGGGTCAAGATTCCCGGGCTCCAGGAACTAGTTAAGCTAGGGGAAAGAATTCAACTCAAGGGAAGAATGCTCGGATTTTTCCAGAATGGACTAGGGATGAGAGACTTTGGAAGGGAAGAAGGGTCTAGAAAGAGACAAGGGAGGGGGTAGATGAGGGATCATCCTAGTTTACCTACTCTGATTCAAGTTGAGAAGCTCTCTGTGCCCCCAATGTCTCCTCTCCCTAGGCCAGCTCCCACTCCTTTTGCCTCCCACCTCCATATGAAACTATTTTTAACCATGCAGAACCAAAAATAGCCTGGCAGCAGCTTCAGGCCGTGGGAGAAGAGCTATTTATATCACCAGTGACGGTTCTGAAATAGCAGGCAGGAGGAGGGGGGCGGCTGGCACGCTAGAGAGCTCCTGGCCGCTGCTAAAAATACTGTCAGTGTGAGTCATCCTGGCCTGGCTGAGTCACCCCACTCTCACCCCCCCCCCA